TACTACAAAGAAAGTAAAGAACAGGAAAAAAGGAAGGAAGAAAATTAAGTCTCCAACCCATGTGTCTTTATCCCAGTTACCTAAGTATAACATGTTGCTTTTCTTCTCAAAGGCAAATAGTTAAATAGATGCATCAGTCAACCTAGTTAGTTGATAGATGGTCAGTTGCTAGAATATTTCAGTCAACCAATATCTTGTTTTACATAGCATCTAATAACTCATTTAACTGCTATGTGTTTAATCATTAACTACCAACTTTTCTCCTTGCTGTGGGCAGTTGTATTGACCTGTGAACAGACCTCACGGTCAAAGATTTATGTATCTTAGCTGTTGTCATTTATTTACAAAGAACCCTAACCATCAGTTAAAAGGTAGGAAAAAGTTGACCAGATTCATGGCCCTCGCATCAGCCTAATGTAAGAAATCTGCCTCTGGTCAGGGAACCAGTCTTCCCTCACATGTAAGATCCTGTTGAACAGATTACTTTGCCAGCCACATAATGAAAGCAGCCAACCTGGCACCTTCTCGGGAGGACTGGTTCCAGGCGGCCCGCTGTTCCTGCCATGACCATTGTCAAATCAGGCTTGTCGGGCCTCCCTCGAGCATGCTTCCACAGGAGAATCATGCAGGCTTTGTCCGCATCCGTGCCAGTCCCAGCACTAGCACGTGAGTGACCATCGTCAGGCCCATGCTGAAGCCAGCAGTTTCCTGTGCTGAACAGCTTTGGCTTTCAATTTGTATTTTGTACCTGTCACTGCATTCATAGCATGATACACTGAGGAGACTTTCTTCATATACGGAATGTGTTACAGCCTTAAGAAGCACTTGTCAGCCTTTTTCTAAATATTGGTAAATCCCCCTCATAGCTCTTTTGTATCATCCTTTGTATTCATGACAGCAACCTTACAACCAGGCACGGGGGAATCTCCCGACTCCTTGTCTGCATTCCCTTGACTGGCCCTACCTTGTCTCTGGCCCTCCCATGAGCCAGGATGTCTATGGGGCCAAAGAGGTGTGCCCACACAGAACCTGTTCCCAGATGATCCTCCTGGTAGCTGAATCCCCGGTGATCCCAATCAAATGTCCCCAAGCTGCTTCCAGCCCATGCATGGGCCTCTTACCCAGGTCCATCTTCCTAGGGCAGACTGGCCAATTAGTGTGAGCACCGCAAGATCTGAGTGGTATCCAGGGGGCAGACTAGGAGCCAACATCCACGTATTAGCCCAGAACTTTGAGGAATCCAAACATTTGAAATGTGACCCTGGCTTCCCAGATCATCATAGTCAAAGAGGGAAAAGAGAATATAATTTACTTAATAGTTTGTAGGCAGATTTATAGCTTTTAAATACTTACACAGCTTAGTGCCAGCATTGTGGTATAGCAGGGTAAAGCCACTGCCTGCCGACTATACTGCATCCCATATGGGTCCAGTTTGTGTCCCAACTGCTCCATTTCTGATCCAGCTCCAAATGGCCTGGGAAAAGCAGCACAAGTTTGCCCAAGTTTGGGCCCCTGCCACCCATGTGGAAGACCCAGATGAAATTCCTGCCTCCTGGCTTCGACCTGGCCCACCACTGCCCATTGCAACCATCTGGGGAGTATACCAGGGGGTAGAAGATCGACCTCTCTTTTCTCTCTTTCTCTCCCTATCTCTGTAACTCTGACTTTCAAATAAGTCATTCATAGATAAATAAATAGATAAAATAGATAAATAAATATTTACACATCCTACATGGGCCTCGATGAATGTCACCCTCCTGAGGATGACTGCGGGGTCTTCACCTCCAGCCACATCTCTCCTCCCCCGTACAGTTTCAGCACATCTCCATGCAGCTCATCGTCCCCCTCCCCCCAAGATAACTTACCTTCAGGTTTCTGTGTTTGCACAATAATGACCAGGAGTTTTTCTACTTTTCATTTTTAAATACCATGATTTGGGTTGTGTTGTAGTGGTTTTCTTGTCAGCTAGCCTGGACTAACCACCATTTATCACATGACTGTTGAGGGAAAACGCATTCCAATTCCCAAACAGCTTATTTGAGAAGGAGTGTGACCCACATGCAGAAGGAACGCTTCTTTTTGCCCCAACTTGACTGGAGGCTCTCTTTAAGTGTTTATGGAGTATGCATGTTAGGCACTCTCATAAATACCAAGGATGCAAAGATGACTGTGATAGGACCTCGCCTTCAGAGAACTCAGCATTCTCAAAGGAACAGATGTGGAATAATTGCATTCACCTGTAACACCAAGTAGTGCATTGCACACAGTAGGTGTTCAAAAGACAGCTGTTGATTGATGGTTGGTGGATGTCAGGGATTTGTAATCATTTTATCCATAGTGCTCTAGGTGCTCCGTAAAATCTTCTCCTCAGACCCACACTCAGGATTTTCTTTGCAAATGCCTGTGGCCCAGATGCCTCAGGGTCTATTCTCAGCTTCCTATCAGCATCACAAAAATTCTTAGAGGGAGGTGAGTGGGGAGAAGGAACTTGGGGACAAATTCAGCAGTTGGCATGAACCATCTTGCCCCAGTTATAGTTTGCCACGGGTCCCGACTTCTTCCCAGATTTGGTAAAAGAGGTGTACCTGACTCCTGACTGTAGCCTTTTCTCAATAGACAAAACTTCTGTGTACATAGTAAGATAAAAAATTGGAAAGGTATTTCCAAAATTGAAAAATATATGTCATATACATGTAAGTGGCATCGTAGATTGTAAAATCATGTGGCCAACAGTTTTCATGTTAGCCACAAATGATATAGATATGAACAGTCTGTATGTGAACACATACATTTTATTTATTTATTTTTAAAAATTTATTTATTTTTACTTGAAAGAGTTACACACAGAGAGAAGGAGAGGCAGAGAGAGAGAGAGGTCTTCCACCCGCTGGTTCACTTCCCCAGTTGGCCACAACAGCTGGAGCTGTGCTGATCCAAAGCCAGGAGTCAGGACTTCTTTCCGGGTCTCCCATATGGATTCAGGAGCTCAAGGGGTTAGGCCATCTTCTGCTGCTGTCCCAGGCCATAACAGAGAGCTGGATAGGAAGTGGAGCAGCCGGGACTCGAACTGGCGCCCACGTGGGATGCCGGCACTGCAGGAGTTGGCTTTACCCACTACGCCACAGCGCCGGCCCCAATTACACATACATTTTAAAGAACATAGAAGCTTGAGGCCGGCGCCATGGGCAGTAGGTTAATCCTCCACCTGCGGCGCCAGCATCCCATGTGGGTGTTGGTTCTGGTCCTGGATGCTCCACTTCCAATCCAGCTCTCTCTGTGGCCTGAGAAGGCAGTGGAAGATGGCTCAAGTCCTTGGGCCCCTGCACCCATGTGGGAGACCAGGAAGAAGCTCCTGGCTCCTGGCTTCAGATTGGCAAAGCTCCAGCCATTGCAGCCATTTGGGGAGTGAACCAACAAGGAAGACCTTTCTCTCTGTCTCTCCTTCTCACTGTCTGTAACTCTACCTCTCAAATAAATAAATAAAATCTAAAAAAAAAAAAAAATAATAAAAAAATAGAAGCTTAGGAGCTTATGTAGCAAAGCATTAACAGATTATATTTGATGGGATTGTGAGTAATTTTTACTTCTCTGTGCTTTTCTGTAATTTCTACAATGAATGTGTTTCACACTTTGGTGAATAGAAGAAACAGATATGTACCAAGGATCTTCAAAAAGTTCAAGAAAGTGCAGTTATGAAAAAATTGGGCATAGAATTCAGCTGTTTTTATTCCATAATAAGCTTATCTTTTAATTCCGTTTTGCACAGACTTTTTGATATACCCTTGTAATAGTTTCTATTGTTGCCTCACAAATTAGCACAAACATAGCAGCTTAAGAATAATGCTTATTTACTCATAGGTCTGTAGTTCCAAAGTTCAGCCAGCTCGACTGGATTCTCTGCTTAGGGTCTGAGGAGGCTACGTCAAGGTGTTAGCCAGGCTGGGTCCTTACCTGGAGGCTGCGGCCAAGTACCCGACTGTTGGCAGAGGGCAGCTCCTGCGGTTGCAGACAGAGGGCCCTGCTCCCTGCTGGTACTCAGCCACAGCTGCCCTCAGCTCCTTGCTGCCCCTGAGGTCTTCGCCCGTGGGCCCTTCCACCCCAGGAGCAGGTAACTGCCTCGCGTCAGAGCCCCCTCTCCCTTCAGATGCTCCAGCTAGCCTCCCTTTTGATTAATTCAAAGTCAAGTAAACTTAACTGCATCTGTAAAACCCCTTGTGTCACCCAAGTGAACAGTCTGTGAGAGGCAGCCATCGTATTTACAAGTCCTCCCCACACTCAGGCAAGATTATATAGAGATCTATCTATCTATCTATCTATCTATCTATCTATCTAGATCCGTGAGGACCACCTTAGAATTCTCCTTCTCAATGGGTGTGTGTGTGTGTGTATAACCTTCTTTTAAGATTTACTTATTTATTTGAAAGGCACAGTTACAGGGAGGCAGAGGCAGAGAGAGAGAGAGAAAGAGAGAGAGAGGTCTTCCATCCGCTGGTTCATTCCGCAAATGGTGACAATGGCTGGAGCTGAGCTGACTCAAAGCCAGGAGCCAGGGGCTTCTTCCAGGTCTCCCATGTGGGTGCAGGGGCCCAAGGACTTGGGCCATCTTCTGCTGCTTTCCCAGGCCATAGCAGAGAGCTGGGTTGGAAATGGAGCAGCCGGGACTTGAACCAGCCGGCGCCGCAGCACCAGCCCCAGCATAACTCTTCAAAGTCTCTCCTGAGAGTTAAGAATGGAATTTGTGGTATTAGCCCCTGAAGCTGTCATCACACTTTCCCACTGCCGCTGGAGAGCAGAGATCACGGAAGAGGGTGGATTGATCAGAAACAAACGCATCTGGAATTTGCTTGCCTTTACTGATAAAAATCTGTTTCTCGGCACTTCTTTATGGCCAAATGTTGAGCAATTTTGGACAAAAGCAGTCCAAAGAGTTGAAGCTTCACTGGCCCAAGGACTGTCCTACGAGTGGCCATGGATCCTAACTCTGATTCTCTTGTGTATAGTATGACGTCGCTGGGCACTCTGGAGATGGCTACAACATTGGTCTCGTTCCGGTTAACAAAATCCCCAAGGACAATAAGCAAAGGCTAGAAATTCTGAAGGTAAATGCGATTTGATTATAACTGTGTTGTGAAATCAAAACATGCCCATTTTCCCCGAATGGATTTTGAGAGTACTTCAGATTGTGTGGGGAATGCAGGGCGATTCTGCCACCTGTCTTTCTCAGTCATACATGGTCAATAGTAGGAAAAGAATGCCCCTTTGAGGATACTCTCAGCCCCAGCTTTATGTAGTGCTTACTATTATCTATAAACTTAATTTCAGCTACTGAAATCTGTGGTAGAAAACACACACACCGTGAGTTCCAAGTAAATTTCTTTCATTGCTATTGATGTGAGTACAGTGTTTAGCACTAAAACTTTGGTTTTTGGAAACTCAACCCATTCCTTATCATATCTTGTATCATATCCATCTTTCTGTGTGATATCAAGTTTTATCTTTTCCCACATTTTCTCACTTTTCATGGAAGCTTGAATTTGTAAAATGCCAACTGTGATAGTTTTGCAGTGTTTCTTGTTTATAATGACAGTGTTTACCAAAGACAAATATCGCCATGTACTGTTGTCATTGTAATGGTCAAATTAAGTAGAACGCAGGGAGTTTTTACTGATGTGTAGTAATTGCTCTTTGTGCATTCTCCTGGCCAATGGAAAAACCATCATGTTTATTTTGAAAAGTAAGTTTCTCATCCATGAATTTGTGCAATGTCTCTCACCTCCAGACAATGCATGCCCACTCCCAGTTCTGCATGAGTGGGGACCACACGCTAGAGGGGACAGAACACGCCATCAAGGAAATTGTCAAAGAAGAAGCTGATGAGTACTTTGTCATAGTCTTGAGTGACGCAAATCTGTCGCGATACGGAATACATCCTGACAAGTTTGCCCAAATCCTAACAAGTGACCCTCAAGTAAATGCCTTTGCCATTTTTATCGGATCTTTAGGTGATCAAGCAGCCAGGTAAGTATGATCCCAGGCAAAGGACAGATCTAAAGATAATGTGCACCTGACACACAGCCTTTCAATGGGAGAGCAGGGGAGGAGACTAAAGAATCAAAAGTAAAATGAACAATCAGCAAGTTGTCCAATAATAAATTAGACAGTACTTTATACATCTGGCACCTTACATCAAGGTCCCAGGCTCAGTCTAATCAGTTTGTTATCATATTTAAAATGATGAACATCTATTTTCCTAGCATAACAGACAATATGTGTGTGTGTATATTATATGTGGATATACTCATACATATGTATGTATGAAGATACTTGAAAATGTTCATGGAAAAGCGAAATTAAAGGCATGAGTTTATTTTGGTGCAAAAAAAAACTTTTTATAAGATTTAGTTATTTTATTTGAAAGGCAGAATTACAGGTTTGGGGGCAGAGAGAGAAGGAGAGAAAGAGATCGTCCATTCGATAGTTCACTCCCCAAATGGCCACAATGGCTGGAACTTGACCAGAATGAAGTCAGGAGCCAGGAGCTTCTTCCGGTCTCCCACATGAGTGCAGGGGCCCAAGGACCTGGGCCATCTTCCACTGCTTTCCCAGGCCATAGCAGAGAGCTGGATCGGAAGTGGCGTAGCTGGGACTAGAACCGGCACCCATGTGGGATGCTGGCACTACAGGCAGCAGCTTTACCCGCCATGCCACAGTGCTGGCCCCAACTTTATTTTTTTGTAATTCATATTTCCATGAACTTTCTGAAGCTCTGTTCTATGTCTCCCCAATAAGAAAGGGGAAATGAATAGTTAGGTATATAAGTTCGCATGTACTGTACACACACACACACACACACACACACACACACACTCATCTCCCTTCTTACTGGGAAGACTAGGCAGAAGAAACACTTGGAGAAACAGAGTAAGACCGTATATATCGTTAGACGTTACACTGAATATACTGAACAATCACTCAGGAAATTTATGGTCAGATCATAAGTGCCATTGGGGGATGAGCTGAGAAATCTGGAAACACTTTCTTAACTTAGATGCACTAACATTTATCTTCTTGAATTGCAACCAGAAGGAGCTCTAGACTTTTGTCTGTTTAAAATGCCAGTATTAAGTGGAGAATACAAATGAAAGTAAATCTCCCTAAAATTATATAACAAAAAAAAAATTCCTGCCTAGGCACAAAGGGCCCCCCTTTTTGTTCATCCACCTCTTTTACGCATCACGCTCTGTGGCATAGTCCTATAGAGACTAGGAAATGTTCTGGTATCCAAAATGCTACCAATGTTTTCTATTCCCTTTGCCTCACGACACGGTTGCAGGGTAAAGTTGAGACCAGACAGAAAATTATGTCATTACACTCACTTTATTACAACTGCCTTTGTATTGTCTCAGTTTTATGTGTTAGCGCTTTTACGTCTTCCACAACCTCCACGTCCTCCAGTGCAAACGGTGGTTTTTCTGCCCCACGTTCCTCATCATCAGCCCAGTATCAGGCACACAGCAAGCTCAACAAGTACTGGCTGAGCTGCAAAGGCTGTTTTGTCTTTCGAGTGAACAGATCCTGTTTGAATACTTAAGAAAGCATAATAATGCCCTTGTGGTTTCCTAGGGAAGTGGTCCAACATCCACTGGCAAAAGATACGTTGCAGAATTAGCTGGTCTACCAGGCATGCCAAATGTATGAAACTACACAGAAGGGCCGACTTATTAAATGTCATTCCAAAACCAAATGGTGTTGGCTCAGTGAAAGGAGCCATTCGTTGGAATAGAACTGTCTTGCCGTTCTATTGCCTTCAAAAAATGGCCTTTTGTTCCAAATGATAAGTTGATAGTTTTTAAAAGTTTTCATAAGCCTATGTGAGCTCTGTGTCATCGAAGCAGCAACTGCATCATCCAGGTCCCATTTCACACTGTGTTCTGTGAAGGAAAAAGGACGGAGAGAGGGGGAGAGGGAGAAAGAGAGAGCCACTCGGGGTTTGGCGAGGCAGCATTTCCGGAGGCCTTCTTCTAAGGCAGGAAAAGTGCCTGGAAGGACCAGGTGAGCTCATCCCAGACGAGATTCTACCAAGATTCACAGGAGAGAGTCTGCCAAGGGACTACACAGAAAATGCCAGGAAATGACGGAAACAAAAGGAAGACATTTTCTTCTTTTTAAATTTGCTGATTCTCTCACTTTTGGTTCTCTGCTGTCACTGTGTCTCTCTCTCTCTCTCTCTCTCACTCTCTCTCGCTCTTGCTCTTCCAAGACTTTCGTTGCCTAGTGACAGCCAATCCAACTGCAGGCAGCAGGCAAGGTAGCAGAATGGAAGGCTTCCTTCCCTAAGAACCCATTTGGATGCAGGGTTTGCCAGGGCAGGAGGCGGAGGGGAGCCCCGAGCTGCATGGTAATTCCTTCCCTCTCCGTCTTGGCAGGCTTCAGAGGACTTTGCCAGCTGGCCGGTCTTTTATTGCCATGGATACCAAGGACATCCCTCAGATTCTACAACAGATCTTCACCTCCACTATGCTGTCGGGTGTTTAAGGGACATCCTTGGGCACCCCGATGACCCCAGGACTGGAAATAAGGCAGGAATAAAGAGCATTCTGAAGAAAAGCAGACTGGATCATTCTGGGATTCCTGGGTCTCCCCACACTTGCTCAGGAGTCGAGACTGAGACAAACAGATGGGAGGAAATCTACAACCGCTGATGAGTTTAGAACTCATTCAAGGAAGCAAGTTGACCTGCATTTTACGAAAGGTCAGGGCAAAGGAAGGTGCTTGGTCTCTGTTTCCTAAACCCAGCGGGATGAGGAATCCTGTGCCTTTGCCATCATACATCATCTGTCACCTGAGATAAGGGGCCACCCCACCAAAGGGGCCCACATGCTGCCGTCCAGTGATTGGTTCTGCTTTCTCCCCACTCTGCACTGCCCAGCAAAACAAAGACTGTATAGCATGGAACCCACTGAAAATCTTCCCAACAGCAGTATTTCATAAAAGGTTGCATTTTCTCAATAATTCCATCTTCTTGGCCAAGGCCAAAAGGAGTCAAAAGAGCCTGCGAGTGCCTGTTCTCCCACGTGACTTTTCAAAGGCTCTTTACATAAGAAAGAGCGAACGGCTTGTTCTGCTGCCAGAGTGGACGGATAAAGACGTCTGGCCCCAGGCTCCTGTTTTTCTTGTTCTCCTAGCGCCTCCCCAAAGTTTCATTTGGTGGAAGGTTCAATCCAACAGATGCTCAGGAGGAAAAGTATTTATTGAGAACATTCATATAAAAATTACTGAAAGCAAAGTAAAAGGCGGTAGAATTGCAATAAACTGATTGTGGATTTCTGTAGCTGTAAAAAAAATTTTTTTTCAAGCCTCATTCTTTTTTCTTTCAAAGCGTACCTTATTCCTACGCATTCTTGGCCTGACCTTCTTCTGTAGGCGCGATGTCAATTTGTTTAATGTCAAATGCCTCAGCCAAAGCCAGTGTCTCTGCAGCTAGACTCCTCCAATAAAAAGCTCATCTTCACAGGGACGGCAGAGTCAGAGACACTGGAGACCGCAGGGGATGTGTGCTTTCTTGTGAGTTGGAAAAATGAGTCCTGTTAATAATTTTGTCTGATTCACCCTTATATAATGAAATTGTACGGGCCCATAATTTCATTGTAATGGAGAACAGAAGAAAAGATAACACCATTTATTCTACCACCGCTTCTCCCTCTCATTAAGTGTCAGAGAAATAGAAGCAATCAGATTTCCAGTGCAGTTTTATTACCCAGCGTGTTTGTATGGCTTGTCTTGTTATCTGGCCAAATGCTTGCTTCGTGTATTGGATCCACCAATGATGCAAGCAGTTTCAATCTAATAAGTACCTCTAACACGTTATTGCATTAATAACAACCACAGCTAGTGTTTATTGCCTATTGCTGTACTGTAGGTGTATTCCAAGTGATTCCATACATTAGTTCATTCAGTCCTCACAACACCAATGCAAGATGGGTATTTTTTAAGATTCCTAACACAACCAACTCTTCATATTCCTGGATTCTGCATCTATGGATTCAACCAAGCTAGGATCAGAAGTATTTGGGGAGGAAAAATTACATCTACGCTGAACACATGTAGGCTTTTTTCTTCTTATTGTTCCCTGAAGATTATAGTAAAACAACTGTTTATGTAGCATTTACATTGCAGTAAATAATGAAGGTAATCTGGAGACGATTTGTAGTATGCAGGAGGATGTGTGGGAGTTGTGTGCAAAGCCCACACCATTTTATACTCATAGAAGGGGTCTGGACATCTGTAAATTTTTGTCTGCAAGGAGGGTCCTGGAACCAATCTTCAGAAAGAACCCCTGAACTACTTTCCACTCTTCCTTTTACTGGTAACTCAAGAAAGTGGGCCGCACTCACAGCCAGGCAGGGGCAAAGCTGAGCTTGTGACCCCATCCCTTCAGTACCGGTGGACACACTTCACACTACGTGTGCTACTCCCACTGCCTTTCCCCTTCCAGCAGTTTCTCTTCCTGTCCCCTGTCCCAGGTGCAGAGAGCCTTCTCCTCTCCTGTCTACCAGAAGCCTGGAGGCTGGGGGACCACTTCCAACTGCCCCTTCCTTCCTGGGTCCAGCCGAGAGCTGAGGAAGTGGCCGCTTCCCCCGCAGTGGGGCCCCTTTGCTAGCCCCAGAGAGACTTCCGAAGTGACTCAAGACCCCAGGGTGATGAAAGGAACAGCCTTTTAACAAATCCTCCCCATGCAAAGTAACTACCTGAGTAAGCAGAAGCCCCTCTTTTTTTATTTCCTTTTGACATGGAAAGAATGTTCTCAAGTAATTTAATTTCCCTTTCCAGACTAGCCAGACATCCTTTGCAATTGTTATTTAAAAAAAAAAGAAGAAGAAGAAGAAGAAAGAAATAGAACTCCTGGGCTTCCCTTATTTGTAAAAGGAAAGGATCGTGGGGGAGGGGAGCGGGGCGTGAGATGATGGGTTTGTTTTCACTTATTGCAATACCTAAGAAGTGTGTGCATTTATTATTAAATGTGCTTCATTACGGGCCACTCCAGACTGTTCCCAGGACCTTCTTGGGGCCAGGACGTTATAATAAATGCATTGTGTGCCCCAGGGGGCTCCGCTGAAAGGCATCTGACCCTCTGTGTCGGTAGAGAGCGCATGTAACACTGAGAAGGGTTCATTGTTATCCATGAGCAGCCAGGAGGAATGAATGCTGTGAATAGCCGCCCTATGTGCTGTGGGGTTCCCCCTGGACGCCTTTGTGGGCCCCAGCAAAATGACCTCATCACGCCGGGGCGGCTCGAGGACAGCCGCAAGCTGTGGATCCGAGCGGGAGTCCTCCGAGGGAACCCATCAGATGTTTGGAATGAATCATTTACTTCTTCCCACTGCACCCTTTCCTGTGAACTGTCAGACGGGGAGAAATCCATCAATGCCAGCAAAGGTTTCTCAAAACAAGCTCTAGGGCTTTGAAAGCCATTTAGCCGTGGTTTTCCGTCGACAGCCCCACGTGGCTCCTTCCTGTGCCTGTCGGACCAGCCAGAATTAAATTCCTCAGCGAGTAGGGCAGTGAATGAAGCAAAACAACAGGACCGGTCCCGTATTTGCTGCATTTCTATTTGTTGCCGACTATGGCAATTATGAGAGAATTCTGGAAATTCTCAGCCAGTGTCTCCAGCCTGGACAGCTTCTTTCTGGAATTACATCAGAAACAGACACGTATCTACTTGTATTCAACTAGTTCATAGCATTTTCATTTCGTTAAGCTCTACATTTTTTCCGACTGATAACATTTGTGATTTTTAAAAATACGTGGGGTTTCTGGTCAGGTTTTATCATGAGGTTCTTGTTGCTCTTTCTTTACCTTTTCGCTAAGGTTTCCTGTGGGAAAAGTACTCCAGGTAATGGAATGAAGCTCTATTTCTCTGCTTGGTAGTGGGGAGAATTTACAAACACGGCATAAAATTAGTTTGTAGCCAGGAAGGTCTACCCCTGCTTAGCCATTCACATGTAAACGTGAGCTAATCGCTCTTGGATCTCTGCTGAATGAAATGGATGAATTAAAGCAGTTGGACAAAATCATCTCTAGCACTAAAATACCAAGTTCCCCAGCATGCAGGAAATTGACTTGGTCCCTCTTATATCTCATAGGTAACCCACCTTATATCCCATTGTGCAGAGAATGCTGGCATCTCTCGGAACTGCCCTAACAAAGTAGCATTTTACAGACTGAACATGTAGACTAAAAGTTAGGAAGAATGTCGTTAGAACTGGGCAAAAGGGACTTTCCCTCAACAGCTGAGCGGACACTTAGCTGATAGTGATGAACAGGATTCAGCCTGTCGCTTCACACTTCACTGTTAAAAAATTACATATCTGCCCCTCTACACAGTGGGAATCAAGACGACTCAGGAGTTGGAAAACTACTGTGTCCGCAGAGCTGACCTTTGTGCTGTGGCTGAACAATGCCCAATTGTGTGTGCCCGCGCGTGTGCATGTGCGTGTGCGTGTAATTGTTCAATGCTTTGAACAAAAATCTCCTCCAGAGGAGAAAAAAAAAATGCTCGCCAAGCAAACATCTCAAGTCGCGAATGACCTGAGGCTCCGTCTGAGAGTGAGCACTGAGTGGGGTTTCCACCTTCAGAGCCGCGCCTGTCCCTGCACAGCCAGGCACGCGGCCTGTGGAATGCCGCAGTCACGTAAGGTTGAAGTCGAGGACTGCTGTGGTATTTGACCATTCAGAGCAAAGTACAACACTCCCATCAAATGGTTTGGACGCTGAGGGTGACAAAAATGGCACAGTCTGCTAGGGGAAATTTCCTCATGGGGATGGTAGCTGCTAAGGAACATCCGCCACCTTGCTTGGTCCCCCAGCCCTGACCCCTGACCCCTGACCCCTGACCCCTGGCAGGTGCTAAAGATACTTCACATCTTCCTACAGGCTGCACTTAAAGGACTTTGGAGGTGCCAGCTCTTGCCCTGAAGAGACAATCAGAATGAATCGATAAACTCAGAGTCCGAACACAGTGGGCGTGGCCACAGAGAAGTTTCAGAATGTAAAGACTGATACAAATGAAATGCCACAATGAAGCATTAAGAAAGTAATCGCTGTAGTGCAACCTGGAAACAGAAGTGAACAGTGTCTCTCCGAACATCCCGAATCAGGTTAGACCAGAATCTGTGAGACAGTCATGACCGAGTCAAGTACTCGATGTAATTGCTCTCACGACATCATCGTGGTCAGACCTATTGATTGAAACTTTAAATATATTTACTCAGGACGTTAAATTGGAATTTCAAGTAAATATGTTTATATTAGTGATTCAAATGTAATGAGGCTGACCACTTCCTCATTCTTGAACTGATAAAAATCCTCCATCATCAGGTCTCCAGAAATAGAGTGAGTTGCAACAAAAGAAGTTGGTCCGCTTCCTCTTATAAAAGATTTTATGGCCAATTCAAAATTCAGCCCTGAAACTGGCCCAGAAGGGAGCACTTGCAGGCCAGTGGAGATCCAATGGCAAAGCTGGAGAGGCAGCTTGCGTGGGCCTTGCCTCCCGGGGGTGTTTCCCATAGAGACCGGGGCTGATGAGGAATCCCAGGGCCTCTCAGCAAGGATGCTCAGATTCCAGCGAGTTCCACACAGCAGTTTGAAGGGCAGATCACAGGAGGACTGGCGAAGGTCAGGGCGCAGCTAATGGACACGTGGTTGGGTAATAACGCTGCATATTTTGCAGTTGACAAAGAAGGAGCCTATATCTGAAAAGTCGCCTTTGGAGCCCAGATGCTTTTGAACGGCTCCTTTCAAGGCTGATGGGATATGCATGTCCCTTTATTGCGGGCTGGAGCACAAAGGTTTTATATTAAATATGTAGCGCCAGAACGAAAGAATCTCTCTTTCTCTCCATGACCTTTCTTGGAGACTGGAAAAACAAGCATCCTCTCCGCACAAGTGGAAGACTGCAGCGCTCCGCAGAACTGCCTGGCCGTTTGGCTGGAACACAGCTCCGCACAGCTGGCCTGGCTCCTTGCCCCTCGCATCTGAAGTCTATCTGCAGAGCTGTGTTCCTCTTCAAGAAGGCCTTCTCTTTTCGGATGCAAACGGCCATCCATCATGCTCATCGCGATTTGAATTCTCTCATTCACATACTTTCCTTCTAACCCCAGCTGAGGTGGAGGTCCTCACACAGAGGGCCTGTGACTTCGGGGAGGAGGTGGAAGTGTGGGGGGGCGCGTTTCCTGCTTGGAGCCTCCCCCAAGTAGAGGCCTGGGCCTGAGACACAGCACCAGGGCATGAAACACGGGCGGACGGTCATGCCTTGGGCTGCCTCGTTCACCTCTCGCGCCTCCCAGATTTAGATGGATGCTAACTTGGTCCTCTTAAGTCTTGCTTTTTCAGAGACTGCTGGCATTTGGTCTTGCATCTGACAGAAGCGCTGCCTTCCGGGCTGGGTTACAGCACTGTGTATGTGTGTGTGTGTGTGTGTGTTGGGGAGGCAACTTCCTGACTGCTGCAGTGAAAGGCCTTCTGCCCAGAGGAAGGGCATGGTCTTCAACATTGGACACAGACCTCTGGGCCAGGTCTTTGAGGACATGAACAAATCAGCTTTTTTTTTTTCTTAATTTAGTTTGCCAAGTGAGGAGCCCTTGCTCTGTGCTGTGTGTTTTTGAAAAGACAGCTGATACCCCTGAGTGGCCACAACCCTTATTGGAAGCATCTTCCCTTTCTTGCAGAGGGGGGACGTGGCCCACGCCCCACTGCACAGCACATGCCATGGAGAGGTGGTTGTGGGAAGAGCTTTGGAATTCCCAAGTTCTGATAAGGACTGAAAGAGTTGATTGTGAGCCTGTTAAAGTCAACATACATTCCTCCTCTCCAGTGAGAGTATTGGATATCCAAGGATACTTAAAAAATCCAAGGGTATTCATGAAAAATACATACTATGAAAAAGGCATGGATGGGTTTCAAAAATTTTTTGATCAAAGTCAAGTCATCTTTTATTTCCATTTCTCCACCAACCTGTTGAGGTACCCTCACATGCTTTTGGAGCTTTGTGTGCTAGAAAGTTTTGTGAAATGTCTGGAATTGTGCCTCTAGGAAGAACAGGTTGTGTAATAGTTTTTAAAAATCCCAAAGTACAAGGGGCATGAAAAAAGTTCATGAAAAAAATGAAATTGGAAGATAAATTAAGGGGCCAGCATTGTGGCGTAGCAGGTACAACTGCTGCCTGTGGTGGTGGCAGTTCATGTCCCAGCTGCTCTGCTTCTGATCCAGCTCCCTGCTAATGGCCCGGGAAAGGCAGCAGAAGATGGTGCAAGTATCTGGGCCCCTGCCAGCCACATGGGAGGTCCAGATGAAGCTCCTGGCTCCTGGCTTCAACCTGGCCCAGGCCTGCCCATTGCGGCCATCTGCAGAGTGAATCGGCAGATGGAAGATCCATCTCTCTCTCTCTCTCTCTCTCTCTCTCCCTCTCCCTCTCCCTCTCCCTCTCCCTCTCCCTCTCCCTCTCCCTCTCTCCTCTTTCAAATAGATAAATAAATCTTAGAAAAGATAAATCAATTTTGGTGCAATTTTTTTAATGGATGTATCTGAGGCATCTTCCAAAAGTTCTTGAAAAATATTGTATTATGAAGTAATTTCATGGATTTAGAATCCTTTTTTACGCTGCCTATTATTATTTTTTTATTTATTTGACAGATAGAATTAGTGAGAGAGAAAGACAGAAAGGTCTTCCTTCTGTTGGTTCACTCCCCAAATGGCCGCCACGGCAGGCACCTGCGCTGATCCAAAGGCAGGAGCCAGGTGCTTCCTCCTGGTCTCCCATGCGGGTGCAGGGACCCAAGCACTCGGGCCATCCTCCACTGCCCTCCCGGGCCACAGCAGAGAGCTGGACTGGAAGAGGAGAACCGGGGCTAGAACCGGCGCCCATATGGGATGTCGGCGCCGCAGGCGGAGGATTAACCAAGTGAGCCACAGCCCCAGCCCCTGGATTTAGAATCTTTTGCAGCAAAGCAAAGTTCTGTATTCAGTTTTTCCATGACACTTTTAAAGTACCCTTTCATTATTTCCTTAGTGCTAAGATGATCAAATGTCTCTGAGAAACAAATGTGGCTCCTTTAAAAAAA